CCGAATGACCGTGACTGAGTTTTCTTTTCCTTGTACACAGCGAAAGAACTTTTGTGAGATCTTGTGGTTGGTAGCGAGTGTGGAGTCCTTGCGTACATCATGCACATGTCCCTCGCAGGATCTCTCAAACAGAAAAGTAGATTGCTTAGCCAAAAACAGATGTGCATGGGATAAAGATTTCAGTGTGTTATTGGTGGGACTTCCAAGCGGTATCACTGGATACCAGCACCGTTGTAAGGACCACAGTCCACCTTAATCGACTTCAAAATATGGATGACGTCACGCTTGAATTCATTCAGAAATACTCAATTTTTCTCTACTACTCGGTAATGCGAGGACCGCTGTGGGGATCAGGCTACGCCAAAAGATCATGCATTTCGATCAGAGAATGCGACCGTACTCAGGTTATTTAACAAAGTTAGCAGCCTCTAATTACCACCTCCTTTGGTCACTATCGCATCCTTCAAAAAGCAAAAGTTCCGAAAATCAACCTCAACTCGAGAATGAGGTCCACCTCTTCTTTTTACCACAGTTGCCGTAGTTCTATGAGAATGGAAATGAGAAGCTGTGCAAAAGAAAGGCACTAGTCCTAGTCATCAACTGCGGTTACCTTGTAGATTGGAGATGTCCTTTACTGACCAGAAATTTAGTTCGAAAAATTTGGTCAAAGTGTCGCAGGACTTTTCGAACAACCTAATACTTGCTGGAGCAGTTCCCAGTGTTGCTACAACTCTGCTTTGAATTTTCCTGGCTATCTCAGCTGTTATCAATTCCTGCCACCCGCCAATAATGTTCCCATCCTGCCCCCTATCTTACTTCTTAGGAACCAATGTCTCGTCGTTGCTGTGGCCGGTGTTATGAATTAGGTGACCCACTCCTTCTAAGGCTCTTTATGGTATCTTATCAGCTCTTATCACTTCCTGCCACCCACCAATAATGTTTCCATCCTGCCCCCTATCTTATTTCTTGGAACCAACGCTCTAGCCTTGCTGTGACGCGCGTTATGAAGTTGATGCTCCTCCCTTTCTGAGGCCCCTTATGGTATCTTATCAACTGTTATCACTTCCTGCCACCCACCAATAATGTTTCCATCCTGCCCCCTATCTTAGTTCTTGGAACCAACGTCCCATCGTCGCTGTGACGCGCGTTAAGAAGTTGGCGACCCTCCCCTTCTAAGGCCCCTTATGTTATCTTATCAGCTGTTATCACTTCCTGCCCCTACCAATAGTGTTCCTGCACGACCTCCTACATCACTTATCAGTTTGAGCGCACTATCGCTGTTTTGAAGGAAGTTATGAATTTCCGGTCAAACACACATACAGACAGACACACAAACATTCACACACACACACACCAACAGACAAACTTAGCGGATTATATATAGTAGGATTATTGTAGAATGCTGCTATCTCTGAGCTTCATCGAAACTGTTGAATAGATGCTTTTGAAGCTCTTGTATCGAATCCTTTATTGGTAAGCTTTCGGCGATAACGCCGTCATCAGACCTTCAAAATACAATACTTCAGTGACCTACAGCTACAACAAAAATATAACATCAGCATCAATACCTGCCATGGGTAGGTATTGATGCTGATGTTATGTAGAGGGTACGATGTACTGATGCTGATG